ATAGATAGATAGATAGATAGATAGATAGATAGATAGATAGATAGATATGTATAGATATGATGTGTTGTCGACAGGACAGCTGTCTGACGCTGAAACAGTTTAGAGTTGCCAAATTCAAGAATTTCTATATTATTAATGATTTTCATTTGGTCTGAGTAGATAAAAACAAACAAAAAAAAACATTTAAAATAATTAATTTGCTGAAAGGAAAAAAAACATCTTCTCTAAGGGTGATTTGCCTTGTGTTAGAAAAAACTATAAACATAAATGTTTGGGGAAAAGGTTGTTGAAAATGAGTTACTGACCTATTTGATCACCGGTACTTGAGAATTACCATCTAGTAAACATATCAGTGGAACTAAGATGTGATGAGGGCACAAGAGGGTGCATAAATAAATTTTCAGAACAGTCGGTCTTGAAATTATAAAACTTAAACAGACAATAATGTAAATGAAATGTCAACAAGTACTCAAAGTTTAGAACAACAAAAAATACAGTGTTATGTCACAGTTATGATCTAATTCATCCAAAAGATGATCAGATCAAAGACGTACACAAACATCTAAAGTTCTGAACAGCTGAAATCTAAGTTACCAAAGTCCTGAAACTAAACTCTGAAATGGATACAGAATCTAAGAACTAAACAGCAAATTCCCATTATCAATCTTTACAATGCCTAAAACCAATATGGATAATCAAACACAGTTAAACTGACAAAGTGCTCCCCACTGAAAAGCAGTACAGCTTAAAACGGTTGGATTAACCTTTGCTTCACATGTCATCCAACTCATGCTACATAAGACTTATTCTGCAGTAAGATTTAAGAGTGAAGGAACAGGGTGGCCAGAACTTCTATGTTTAAAATTCACAGGGAGCAGTCTATTCCAAAAAATATATATGTTTAACAGAATGAGCAGCAAAGACAAAAAAAAAAAAAGGATTACAGAAACAGGCTTAAAATAGATAAAATCTGTGACAATGAAAACAGAAACTAGAATTTTCTTTTCTATCATAAAACTGCTAGAAGGACAGCATGCACTGTCGCCTCACAGCGAAAAGGTTGCTGGTCTGAATTCCACATAGGGCCATTCTGTGTGGCATATGCATGTTCTCCCTGGACAAGTTTGTATTTGTTTTCTCCTGTTTCCTCCTTCAGTGTAAAAGCATGCATGTGGGGTGAACTGGAGATTCATGAGCCTAGATAATGCGTGTTCTGGCTGTTTGTCCTGTGATCCTATGAAGGACAAACCAACCTTTCCTGTTACCGAATGACAGCTGGGGCAGGTACCTACATCCCCCTCCATTCAAAGCTGTTTTAAAGAGGAACCACTGTTGTCCAGCTGGGACAGGGTGCTGTTACTGTTGTGCTCAAAAGTTTGCATACCCTGGCAGAATTTGTGATTTCTTGGCCATTTTTAAAAGACAATTAAATATTTACAAACCTTGGAAGCTTACCATTCATATACTCTGAAAAATGGCCAGAAAAAATAACAAAATCTGCCAGGGTATGTAAATTGTTGATCACACCTGTATTAAAGATGAAGTTTGTTTCCATCTGCGGTGTGTGGCACGCCTGCAGAAATGTTTAGGTGGTGACAACTATAGAAGTTAAGTCAATGTAAAAACTAGAATGCAGGTTTCCTTATAAGTACATTGTGTTGTACTGAGGATGTGCTTTGCAACTTAATAAAATATACACGATTACTGAAAAAATTAACAAAATCAACAATCTCAGAAGTTAAATTGTGTCTATGTGCAGTGGAGAGGCTTCCCTAGATATATTATAATCTCTCTACAGAGGCTGTTTGGTCAAAATTAAATCCACAAGCATAGTATATAGGTTTTAATGAACATAACCATGTACACAAACCGATATAAATCTGGTAGTGTGTTTGGATTGCAAGGTGTTTAATTAGATTAGATCATAAACGTTTATGCTAAGCTAGGATGCTAATCTGACACAAAATAATGAGTTTGCAGAAATGTTGACAGTCATCTGAACTACAAACAAATTTCAGATCTTATCAAATGAATGCTTTTCAACCACTACTAACAATCTCAAGTGTTAACAAATTCATACTGAATCATTAGACCTGACAGATAACCACAAAGCTAAGCTAGCTGTCCTGTGTACAGGTCTTCATCCCTGCCATGCCCTCACGTTTTCCTACCTTTTATAACTCTCTACAGAAAACCACATTCTGGCACATCTATATTCACTATTTAGATACAAAAACATAGAAATATTACCTTTCCGTTGCCGCTAGTTGAAACAAGAAGTCCTGGCTGATTTAGCTAATGCTAGCTGGCTAGCTAGCCACGACCAACAGTGAATGGAGATCAAAGTTCAGTTCACTGCAACAAACAGACAAGCTACAAAAATCGGACATTACACTGTATTTTAACGTAATCGTCCCCAGCGTTACTTGTTCATTCAATCTCTAAAAAGTGTTCCATACGTGAATAAATTGAACAACTTCCTGTAGCTGTCAATCTGGCTTTGGTAAACACACTGACGTGGAAATGCTGCGCAGCCTCAACCTAGCTTGATGGTGGAGTGTTGATTGACGTGTCAACACAGTGTCGGTTTAGATGAGATATAGATTTTTCACATACAGGAATTTGTTGTTTGACCAAAGTTTAGATTTAAATATAATTGAGTAGTATTTAATTTGAAAAGGTAAACGTTTACTTTGTGTTACAGCTTGAGGGGGCGGGACATGGTAAACCGTAGAGCCGGAAGTTAGGTTGTACCGAGTTGATGACGGAAGCACGGCCTGCATCTCTACTGATGCTGCTTTACTGATGTAATCCCATTGTCTAATCTGTCCAATCTAATTTATGTGATGTTTTATCGGCAAAATTCCAATGCCTTAAACTGTATGACATAGAGATGTAGTTTATATCAGTTTATTTTGTCCCAACTGTTGTGATTTTAGTTATTTTTGCTTTAAAGGGAACCTGTTACACTTTGTTCTGGCTCGTATAGCCCACCTTGAGCTCTCTGCATTGCCTTTTAAATGACTTATCTGTGCTTCATTTTGTATTTATTAGTGAATAAGGAATATTTTAACATAAATATAAAAGTATAGTGCAAGCATTTGTGTCTATCACTGGACTTTTTTTTTTTTTTTTTTGGCTAGGTTGCAATTGTAAGCATAAATGGATAAGGTTTTTTTTTAATATATTTAAATAAAAATAAATGGAGCATTGAGATTTCAAGTGCAGAGCTGTAACAAATACCAGGATTTGATCAGTATTTCTATTTATAGTTTCTTCTGTTTGTTTTTTGCTGCTGTTTTAAGGCTGCTGTTTAATACACCGTATTATATTACATTATTGTTGTTTAATGTATATCTTAGAGTCTAAGATATACATTAAACAACAATAATGTAATATAATACAGTGGTAAAAAATAATTCAGGTGGTAAAAAATATAAAGTATAAAAAGAAACCGTATACAAGGGTCAGACCCTTGTATACGGTTTTTTTTTATACTTTTTTTTTGGGGGGGGGGGGGGGGGGTGTAACTAGGACCTTGAGTACACAATTTTGTTAAACCTCATGCACGACATGTGCTGTGAATGAGAATAAAGTAAACTTGAACCTTTTATTTTTACTTTTGGTGGAGGGACTGTAACTATTTCATTCAACCTTTATTTAGACGGGTTAAGCCCATTGAGCCTCGAGGACTCATTTACAAGAGAGACCTTATTTCAAAATGAAAAATTAAAAAAAAAACTTTTCAAAAACTGAAAAAAAAAAAACGTTTGAAAAAAGTTTAAAAAAAACTTCAGCATACTTTAATTTCAACCTTCATGTATTAAAATGCTAATGTAACTTGTTCAAGGTGGTAGCGTTTTTTGTTTGTAACCTTTAAATTAAAATAAAAAAATAAAGTATTATTCCTCATTGAAATTAATGGAGAACTCTTCATATCATTGAAAAACTTGATAATCTTTGAAATCTACTTTAGCCACTTTTTGTTCTAATTTTAGATTTTAATGATTTTTGCTGGATTTAGCGTTTAGATACTGTTTTGCCAATTTTTGCTTTTGACTATCATTCTATTATTTTAGTTTTCAGCCACTGTTTTTCTGGTTTTAGATTTTAAGTTTTGTTTTGCTCTTTTTGGGGGGAAAGTGTGTGTGTGTGTGTGTGTGTGTGGGGGGGGGGGGGTGCTATGTCTAGGTTGTGTTTGGAAAATTTAAATAAATTGTGATTGCACAGATGGACTAACTGCTTGTCCCATAGAGCCAAGACTAAGGTGGATTGCTGCCATCTTTAAACAGCTTAAATCTCAAATTGTCCATAGCAGTTCATGCAAATGTTATTTAAAACATGACATTACAGTTAATATTGCATTACACTGTTATCCATCCATCCATATACCCATCCATTCATTCTCTTCTGCCTATTCCAGAGTCAAGTTGCAGGGACAAAAGCTTGAGCAGGAAGGACTCCAAAGCATTCCCAGGCCAGCCATCATGTTTTGGGTCTTCCCCAGTGGCCTCCTCCCTGTTAGACAAGCCTGGAAAACCTCCCTAGAGAATCGTCCAGGCATTACACAGTTAACCCAACAGAAATAATATGATATTCTTGATGGAAATGCCGTAGATTGTACTGGAAGTGGTACAGCTAGCTGCTGCTGCCACTCTTTGAGCAAGTTGCAAAATGCTGCAGGAATGTAATCCAAAGGGAAAAAAATCCAATTAAAGATAAACTGAAGGTGATTTATAAAATAGCTTTTGCATTAGTTGCTACCAAAGTTTTGAGATTAGATTTGTTTTGAGGTAGCAGCAATCCACTTTGGTCTTGGCCCAACTTGAGCCAGTCTTTAGTTGTCAGTCTGGAAGAATTAGCTTCTATTTCTACAAACTAAGACTGAACAGAGAGCTGTCCACAACATGCAAGATACTGATTGTAACCTTTTCTCTGAACCCATTGAACATCAGAAGTATCTATTTAAGTAATAAATCCGTCTGCTCAGCTGTTTTCTGTGCCAGAAACTGGTTATACAAATCATCCCTTTCACTGAAGCAGTTTAGAGGCAAAAAAACCCCACCTAACTGGTGCTGGTCTTCAAGCAGCAGCAGCTCATGCTAATGACTGGTGGTTGAGGGTCAACCTGGAAAAACTACTTCCTAAATTTATTACAACCAAACATGACGCATTATGGCCAAACATCACTTTGGTCTCATTCATTCAGAAGACTTTTTTCCAGAAGTCTTGTGATTTATTCAAATGAAACTTTACAAACTAAATTTGTGATACCATGTTCTTTTTTAAAAGAATAGTCTTTCTCCATGCAAACCTTCCAAACAAGCCAAGCCTGTTCAGTCTTTTTGTTATTGTCCTGTCATGAACTTTCCCATGTTAAATGAGGCCTGCAGAGTCTAAGATGAAGTCCATGAGTTTATTTTTATTTATTTATTTATTCACAATTACTCTAAGTATTGCACGGTCTGGTCTTGGGGTGAATGTACTGTGATGTCCACTCCTGGGAAAACTGACAACTGTCTTAAACATTTTCCACTTGTGAATATTCTCCTGCTTTAAAAAGGATGGTCACACTGGTGATAATCAGATAACCATTATCCAAAGAAGTTAAGTCAGATCCTCTGGACGGGTTCAAAAAACAAACAAAAAAA